AATTTTTCCTATAGAACAATGTCAGTGGTGAATATTTTCCTATAGAAAAATGTCAGTGCTGAATATTTTTCTATAGAAAAATGTCTGTGGTGAATATGTTTCTATAGTAAAAATGTCTGAGGTAAATATTTTTTATAGTAAACTGTGAGTGGTGAATATTTTTCTACAGAAAAATTTCAGTGGTGAATATTTTTCAATAGAAAAATGTCAGTGGTGAATATTTTTCTAGAGAAAAATGTCTGTTTTCCTATAGAATATTTGTCTATAGCAAACAGGGCGTGGTGAATATTTTTCTATAGAAAAATGTCCGTGGTGAATATTTTTCTATAGGAAAAATGTCTGTGGTAAATATTTTTTATAGTAAACTGTGATCGGTGAATATTTTTCTATAGAAAAATGTCCGTGGTGAATATTTTTCTATAGAAAAAATGTCCGTGGTGTATTTTTTTCTATGGAAAAACATCAGTGGTGAATATTTTTCTATAGAAAAATGTCAGTGGTGAATATTTTTCTACAGAAAAATGTCTGAGGTAAATATTTCTTATAGTAAACTGTGATTGGTGAATATTTTTCTATAGAAAAATATCAGTGATAAATATTATCCTATAGAAAAAGCGGTGAATATTTTTCTATAGAAAAATGTCCGTGATGAATATTTTTCTATAGAAAAATGTCAGTGGTGAACATTTTTCTATAGAAAAATGTCAGTGGTGAATATTTTTCAATAGAAAAATGTCAGTGGTGTATATTTTCCCAGAGAAAAAATGTCAGTGGACATTTTTTCTCTATATAAAATTGGGAATGAGATATAAGTTAAGGTTTACAAGAGGCGTAATTTAAAAAAAATATTTTTAAAGGTCTATCAACAAGCGTGGTTTTAAAAAAAAATTAAAGGTAGATTTTTGGAAAAAAATTTTTAAAGGTGGATTTTTTTAAATATTTTCCCCGTTTATCACATTTTTACACAATCTACACAGATTTCCATGGAAGCACATTGACTAGCGTGCGATCAATTACCACATAATTTTCCATCATTAAAGCAGAAAAGAGCAGCAACAACAACAACAACATCGAAATGAACATTTCCTTCCTCTTAAAAGCTTAAGCTGATGGTATCTCATTGATTGACAGACAGACATACAGGCAGTTGAATGCTGTGGCTGCTGCGGCTGCGGGTACTTCTCTGTTAATTTCACTTTCAATAAGACGGAGGATGACTGGGTACAGCCCAGATAATAATCGTAAATCAGCTGCGGAGTCATTCAAAAGAAAAATGCCGAGGAATTACAGTAGCCGAAATAATACTCTCCAATAACAATTACAATAATGACAACAACAACGATAATATCCAATATAATATTACGACAATAATCTTAATCATGATTAAGTGTTTTAAATAATTTCATATATATTGAAAGTGATTAACAAAAGTGGAGGGATGGAGGTGGGGCTTTTTATTACTTCCCTGTCACCAGATTATGGTAATTTGAATTTTATGTTATTGAGAAGTGATTCGAAATGCGGGTAATTTGTAAAAATTTGGAAAGGCATGTGGAAGTTCACTACCATTTAATACTGTAAAATGTAAATAAATAAATATTCTACCACCGATATTTTAAAAATCCACGCTAGTTTATAGTTCTTCAAAAATATTTAAAAAAAAATCCACTCCTGTTGATAGAAACCAGTGAGCAGAGCAGTATAGTCGGACGGGCTGACCATACGATACCCTACACAACTACCACGGAACTCTAACTTTCTGCGGATTTTTTTTATTCCGAGCCTGGGCAATATTTCGTGATAGTTACACCCTCTTGCCCGATTAGAGGTCAACAGCACCACTTCCTTACACTGACATATTTTCCGAATATAACTAATATATATATTCACAAAACTTTGCAGACATCATTCTAGACATAATTCAGTACGCTATGCCAAAACTCGTGCAAATCAAAGGACTTTCAGGGACTTTAGTGGACTATTTACCTAAAATCGGGCGAAACTATATATGGGAGCTATATCTAAATCTGAACCGATTCTCACAAAACTTTGCAGACATCATTCTAGACATAATTCAGTACGGTATGCCAAAACTCGTGCAAATCAAAGGATTTCAAAGGACTTTAGTGGTCTATTTACCTAAAATCGGGCGAAACTATATGCGGAAGCTATATCTAAATCTTAACCGATTCTCACGAAACTTAGCATACATCATTCTAGACATGATTCAGTACACTGTGCCAAATTTCGTGCAAATCGAAATATATTTAGACACGTTGGTGGACAATTTACCTTAAATCCGACGAATATATATATATATATATATATATATATATATATATGGGAGCTATATCTAAATCTAAACCGATTTTTAGGAAATTTTGCACACATCATTCTAGGCTTAATTCAATACCCAGTGCCAAATTTCGTGCAAATCGAAGGATATTAAGGGACTTTGGTGCACCATTTACCTTAAATCGGACGAAAATATATATGGGAGCTATATCTAAATCTGAACCGATTTTTACGAAACTTAGCACACATCAGTCTAGATTTGGTTCAGTACGCTGTGCCAAATTTCGTGCATATCGAAAGATATATGGAGTCTTTGGTACACCATTTATTTTAAATCGGACGAAAATACATATGGGGGCTATATCTAAATCTGAACCGATTTTTACGTTCTAGACCTAATTCATTACGCTGTACCAAATTTCGTGCGAATCGAAAGATATATAGGGAGTTTGGTGTACCATTTACATTTAATCGGACAAAAATATATATAGGAGCTATATCTAAATCTGAACCGATTTTCCCAATTTCAATAGGGTTCGTCCTTGGGCTAAATAAGTGACCTATGTCAAATTTCATCCAAATCGGATCATAAATTCGACCTGTACTTTGTTTACAATTTAACATGGACAGACGGACGGACGATGGTGCACCATTTACCTTAAATCGGACAAAAAAATATATATAGGAGCTATATCTAAATCTGAACCGATTTTTCCCAATTTCAATAGGGTTCGTCCTTGGGCCGAATAAGTGACCTATGTCAAATTTCATCCAATTCGGATTATAAATCTTGTTCTTGACCATGGCTGAGACCTCATGGAGCATTTCAAGGCGATCAGCGCTATATTTCCACCCTCTAGTGTGGTAATATCGGAATATGTAAGCTCCTGAAAATATTTACGTGTAACTCCCACATCCGAGTAAATACGACAATATATTTGGTATCAATTTAAAGGCCAACCACTCCTCTTGGATATACTATCAACTTCTCGGATCTATGTCCTTCAGGAGTAAATATATATACGCTACAGAATACAAATTTTGTAATTTTTCATACAAAAGTCAGGGTACATTTGACCCGCTAAATATTGACCGATCTTTATGAAAACAAGCATGCTTATTCTTTGGCCCGATCCCCTTCACCATGCAAAATTTCACGATGTTCGAGCCATTATTGTGGTCTCTGGATCGACCAGAAAAACCGACAAAAATTTAGTATATGGTCCATTTCATCCCCTAAATATTAACCGATCTTTCCCAAAAACAATAGGGGTCTTCATTGGCCAGAATCCATCCTACATGCAAAATTTCGTGAAGATTGGTCTATAACTGTGGCCTGTATCGTGTTTACAAAATATAATGGACAGACGGACGGACGGACACACATGTCTAGATCGACTCAGCTAGTCGAGATATGACGATCGGTATACTTAAAGGTGGGTCTAGGACCAATATTTCGCGGCGTTACAAACTTTTGGGCCTGCACAAAGCTATAATACCCTGACAACATAGTTGTGTAGGGTATAAAAATCTACGCCTCTTGTAAGGCCTTCAAAAAATATGTTTAAAATAACCACGCCTCTTGTAAGGCCTTCAAAAAATATGTTTAAAATAACCACGCCTCTTGTAAGGCCTTCAAAAAATATGTTTAAAATAACCACGCCTCTTGTAAGGCCTTCAAAAGATATGTTTAAAATAACCACGCCTCTTGTAAGGCCTTCAAAAAATATGTTTAAAATAACCACGCCTCTTGTAAGGCCTTCAAAAGATATGTTTAAAATAACCACGCCTCTTGTAAGGCCTTCAAAAGATATGTTTAAAATAACCACGCCTCTTGTAAGGCCTTCAAAAGATATGTTTAAAATAACCACGCCTCTTGTAAGGCCTTCAAAAAATATGTTTAAAATAACCACGCCTCTTGTAAGGCCTTCAAAAAATATGTTTAAAAAATCAACGCCTCTTGTAAGGCCTTCAAAAAATATGTATAAAAAATCCACTCCTCTTGTAAGGTCTTCAAAAATATTTTTAAATGTGAAAAAAATTATAGAACATTTTTTTCAATGATTTACTTCTGTAAAAGTGTTGCTCTATTTCTAAGCCACTTTATCGAAATTTTATTAACGATCTTGTTATTTAATACCGTTCCTAATGTAGCCATAAATCTTTTAGATAACAAGAAATGTTTGGCATATTAGATGATTATTAATATAATAAATGATTCTATTGACTTGTTTTCAAAATTTCCGTTATTGACTGGCTGAAGAAGTCAGCACTAAGTCATCGAGTCCATTCATAGCATCTATCGTTACGTTCTAGCCAATGGCTTCAGAGTCGTCTTCGCACATCAAAATGCCATTGATCTCCACATGGGATGTTGACTTTATTTACAGTTTTTTTGTTTTGTATTGGGAATTCTACGAAACGACCATTTGCCATAAATTATCCAGTTCAATATTTTGTATACAGAGCGGGTTAAGCACATTTCAACAAAAAAAAATTATTATTATATTTTATAAAATATATCTGTTTGTTTTTCAGTCGTATCGTTTATCTTCTGTAACTGACTGACTGATTTATTTTTTTTCAATTCTGATAATGTTTTTCCCCCTCTTTTTTTGTTGTCTGCCTCTGTTAAGCATCTATTGTTTGTATCGTATTTCATTCTTTTTTTACTGATCGGCCTGTTCTTTTTTTCTTTTTTGCAGATTGCGACCAACAGACATCAACAGCATCGACATCTTCGACATCAGCGCCGATAGACATTGTCGACGGTTTAGCAAGTGGCGATTTTAAAAATCATAGCAGAATCGAAGTTGACGAGCTTGGAAACGGTTGTGATATCAAAGAGAAATTAGCCACAATGATGATGCCAACGCCACCACCACCTCCACCACCGGGAGTACAAACAGACGCCAATGGCCTGATATTACCAAAGAAATTAATAAATCCCTGTCTGACGTCAACGGATCGCAAACAGCTGCATCGAGAATTAAAATTTAATACAAAAATGTAAGTACAACAAAAATAAAAAATAACAGAATATTTGAAAAAAATTGAAAATGGCTGATTGATTGTGGTTAGTGGAAATTTTGAAATATTTTGAATTCTTCCGAAAACACGTAATTTATAAATTAAAACTTATTGAGAAATTTAATTCTATTATTCAAAAGTCGAGCATTCAGATTTGGTATTAAACCTAAGTGTTTTGAAAATAAATTTTATGTCAACAAATTTCAGTTGACTGATGACAGATTATTTTTATTATAAAATAATATCTCAATTCTCGAGGATTGAATTTTTTAATTGGAAACCCCCCAACTCGAGAGTTCTGAATTTTTCTAGAGAAAATACTTTTTCTAAGTTAGCTTTTACTTTTTAGAAAAACTTTTTGATTCTGTAGAATAGATTTGCTGGCATAGAAAAACTTTCTCAGTTCCAGAAGATTGGAAATTTGACAATAATCTGGGATTTAATTTTTATGTAGAACAAACAAAACTCGGTTTGGTTCTACGTGTTTGAATGACCCACGAGTTTTAAACAACCAAAAATATTGATTCCAAATCGATATCTCGACTGGATGAATCCCGTACCCATTCTTTTGTTCATATTTCATTTAAGGGACCCCCATTCTCGATTTTTTGTTTTAAGATTTTAAATGGACTGGTATATGAATACCAAAGCTTGTTAAGGTTTGTAACTTTGCACATATCGACGCCTCCGAAGAATAGTATGCTAAGTCTGAAAAGTGAGTTTTTCAGTAGAAGCTTTCAAAGTATGGAAGTTTCTTGAATCTTACGTGCCATGCTAAGTACATGTTTGCTTATAATTTTGGTTTGGATTGGCCGATGATTACCAAAATTTCAGAGAATTTAAATTAAGGACCGCAGTATCTAAAAACGTAAAGAACTTTAAAACATGCTAAGTCGACTTAGCATACTATGGTTCGGAGGCGTCGATATGTATTTTCAAAGTCCCAGGGTATGCTTTTAATGTCAAGCTTTTCATGTATCGGAATCTGGCAACCCAGGGCGGTATTTTTAATTTTCTGCAAAGATGTATCAATCCTTCAATTAATTCTGAATACCAAACTACAGGCACTTCGGTGGGAAAATTCATTTAAAATCCGATTATATGAGCCTGTGTCGAAAAGTGTCACATACACCTCAGGCTATGGCACATCGAATGTAGTACCAAATAATCCTGGCTTTTGTGGGGGAGATACCAGGGGTATTTGTATTTTGATTTAATTCGAATATACACTAATTCAATAATGTCCCTATGAAATTTCAAGTGAAAATATCACCAACTTTTGAAGATATAGCCGATGTATTGTGCTAGCATCAAGTGACGGCATGAGGGCTTCTCAAACGTTTCTCTGTGAGTGTATAGCTATCGTATGAACTAGGATAAATCCAATCGGTCAAGATCTTCCTTATTTTGTTGCTTGTTTTTTGGTAAAAATCGCGATTTTCCAAAAATATATTTTCAAAGGTCCGCCGTTTTGTTGATTTTTGAGCGAAGTCAATAATACGAGAGCCTTCCTAACTCCGTTGGAATTTTCGGATTCCGATGTTCCAGTGATGTTCGGATTCCGATGTTCCAATAAAACAAGAACAAAACAATAAAAAATTGTAAATTATTTTTCATTTTCTTTAAATCTACGAATATATATCTGCAAAGTTACAAACCTACGGTATTGATTTACCAGTCCATTGAAAATAAAAAAAGAAATAAAATCGAGAATGGGGGGTGGTTCCCTTAAAGGAGCTGACACTTTATATGAGGTCTATACCCAAAGATCGATCGATATTTATACATTTTGGTTTGATACCCAATGAGAACCCGAAATATACGATTAGAGGTAACTTAGTTGAAAAAATGTCTGAATATCGAAAATTTGGCAGGTTTGGCAGGTTTGATACCCAATGAGAACCCGAAAAAATTCTAAATATCGAAAATTTGGCATCAAAACGTGGACCGATTATTTTTGGTTGGCTGATTTTCTGTTAAAAATTAGAAATCTATATCTGAAATAAAGTCCAACTAGATTGAACATTTTTCTCAAATTACCTCAAATAGTCTACTATTATAAATGTTTTTTGTTAGAAAGAAGAGAACCGCAAATACCATTTTACAGCCATTTGAAAAGTGTGCGCAAAATACCGAATATCATAACATCACTAAATCGACGTTTAATTCGAACGATAACTTTAATATACATTCCTCTTTATGGTGGATTGAAACAATGACTGGACTGAGCCGGCTATATAATACCCTAAACCACAGTGGGAATATACAAGAGGTGATGAAAAAATCATGAACATAAAATAATAAAATTTGAACCCATTTGAAGCACATTTGGAAAATGTCGTTCTAGACAAATGTGATCTTCATTCCAGTCTCAAGACACTAGCCCATGCAAACTGTCGTACAATTGGCCTGTTCAATGTATCTGTGTATTTAATCGCCATTTATACATAATATCGGACGAAATCTAAATTTGAACCGATTTAAAGCAAAGATGGCGAACGTCATTCCAAACCTAGTTCAGTCGTTTTATGAAATCGATCGAAGTTATATTTTTTCCTGTTAGATCTCTTGGGAGCATAGGATATTCATAAAACATCGCCATCTTACTCGATTAGTCATAGTTCTTTATTGGTCTGCTGTGGCCTGTATTACGTGAAGGGGCTGCCATCTACCGTTGTCTAGAAACAACGTCTCGTTGAATTTTAAGCAATGAAAGAGGTTCTGGCTTATTCAGTTGCTATATTCTTCTTCCTCAAACATTATCTCCTGCCACTTCTATTTTGTGTTATCCTCATGTGTTTATGTGAATGCCAAGGTTTTGAAGAAAACTTAACACACGGCTTTATGAATTCTAATATCTGCACTGTGCAAAATTTAGGGTTCATTTTTCAGGGTCAGGGTACATTTTTCAGGTGATTTTTAAACAATATTTTCTCAGGGTCATCAGAAAAAAATGTTAATGAATATTTGCATAACAGCATTCATAGGATATATTTTCCATTTATCTAATTATGAATAGAAGTAAAAAATTCTTATAATTTTAAGAAAGCCAACATTTGTCCAAAAAACAATGTAAACATATCATTAGTATCACAACTATCCCCCCTCCCCCTCACTTGACGCGTGTTAGTTTTGTAAATGTTTTTCTTGTTTAAGACCGTGGTCTTTCCACTCACTCGATTCTGGCTAGTTTTGCATTCAATTTATTTCAGACATTGTTGGCGACATTTGCCTTGGTGTTATAAAATTCGCATATGCATTTTCCAAATTATTTCGATATAAATGTCAAATACAATATTTCAAAAAAGTGTTGATACGAGCAACAAAACTCAATTGATAGTTTAGTTGTATACTATTGTTATAATGGCGCAAAACAAGAAAATAAGACAAATCGGGACAATACAATAAAAAAAATAAAATCAAAATAGATATATCAAAACGACAAATAGTGTCTGTGCCATAAAAAGTCCCCACCACCACCAAGCACAACTCCAAAGTTGTTTTTTAGCTCTCTCTGAAAGATAGAGAGACGAGTATTTAAAGTTTTATGAATTACATACATAAAATGCAGAAACCGTTCATAAAATATACGAATTATTTTTTTCTGTGTAGGCGTGGATTTTTTTAATATTTTCTCAGGCTCTTCCATAGGTGTGGATGTTTTAAAGAATATTTTCTCAGTCTCTTCCATAGGCGTGGATTTTTTAAGAAATATTTTCTCAGACGTCATCCATAGGCGCAAATTTCTTAAAGAATATTTTCTCAGTCGTCTTCCCAGGCGTTTTAAAGGAATATTATCTTAGGTCTTCCATATTTTGAAAGAATATTTATGTGGATTTTTTTAAAGGATACTATCTAAGGTCTTCAATATTTTTAAAGAATATTTACTTGGATTGTTTAAATATTTTCTCTGGGTCTATCATAGGCGTGGATTTTGTAAAGAATATTTTCTCTGGGTGTACCATAGGCGTGGATTGTTTTTTAAAAAAATATTTTTTCTGGGTCTTCCATAGGTGTGGATTTTTTAATGAATATTTTCTATATTATAGTATTTTATAATTGTCATAAAAAATTGAAGATTTTTTTTAATATTTCATATTTTATTTTTGTTTCTCTCTTCCCCACAGGGGCATCAGTGTTCTAAATCAAAAGACAGAACTGCAGCGTGCCTACGAGAAACGGCAACAGCATAATATGGAACAGCAGCCACCCTCACCCACCTACGGCCTTAAAAGTGAACTCAATCGTGTGATAATGGAACGAGCTCAAAAGCATGCACAAGCCCGCCTTCAAAATCAGGAAAATAACGATGACGACAAGCAGTACGTCAATCCGGAATATCTGAATGCGAGAGCAAAACTGCGGGCGGGACAAAGGACTGAATTGAAATAAAAAAATTCAAAAAAAAAATTAAAATTAATTGTTTTTAAGGAAAAATTCACACACACACACAGAGACACAAAAACACACATACATATATATAGAAGAAACACCCATTGGTCCCCCAAAAAACACTAAATGAAAGAAAGAAATAACAACAAGGAAGGACTTCTCGAAAATTTTAAGTTTTTTTTTATTAAGAAAATTGATTTTTTTTGGAAAATTATTTGGACAATAAGACCAGTTGAGGTCTTTGCCCTTAAACAAAATGATATAACTATATCGAGATATAGTTTTAATTATTTACAAAATTATTATATAACAGATTTGAACATGTGTACAATTTATGTTTTCTATTTTTTGTGTTTAAATATTTTTGTTTCAAAATTTCTTCCACATTTTTTTTTTTTTTTTTTGTCTAAGGAAAAGCGTTTCATTTGTAATTCCCTTCCCCCAATTTTGTTTGTAAGAAACAATGAAAGAAGAAAAACAAATAATTAAATAAAATATTATTATTAGTTATCATTATTATTTAATTCTAGTTTAGTTTTATATATAAACATTAAAAATATATATTAAATAAAATGGATAATGTTAGCCTATTGAAAATGAAAAATAATGGAAAATTTCCCACAGCAAAGATATAAACCTGATTTTCTTCATCTTTATTAAAATACATACTTATAAATATATATTGTTCTTTGTCAAATACAAAAAAATAGACTTTATATATACATATATACATAAAAAATATTATAAAAAATTATTTAAAAAAATATATAATTTAAAAAAATTGATTTGATTTCATAAATCTTAAAATATCACATATTTTCAAATGGCAAGCAGAATTGACGAACTTCTGATTCAAAATTGATTTGGAATTATTAATCGATGTTGAAATAAGGCATAATCAATTCAGAATTATTCTGAATCGATGTGAAAGTAATAAGATGGGTCCCAACTAGATCTAAATTTTATTTTTTAAGGGTCAATGATTATTCCAGCATTGGAGGAATCCATTGGACCTTGAAAAAAAATAAAATTTGCGTTCTGGTTGGGACACTCTATAGGAATATTTCAAGATTCATTAAATCAAATCGAGTTTTGTTTAAATTTGAATATTTTATGTCATTTTGGTATTATTTTTTAATTCAAAATTGTATTTTTCCCCTCAAAAATTCCATTTTTATATAATTCCATAATTAATACACGTATCAATTCTTTGTGTTATTCCAAATATTCTGTCATTATTTTTTATGTATTTTGAGTTTTTTTCTTTCTAGGATATAAGCTTTTTTTGTTAAATGTCAATCAACGAATTACACCGATTAATTTTTTTCATTCATTTATTTTTCTTTATTGATTTGACAAATTTTATTTTAGAAAAAAAAATATACAAAAAAACTATAACAAGAAATGTGGATAAATATGCTTTATTAATTTTTTATAAATATAATTATCATTATTATTTTTTCATTTTAAGTTGTATTTTGTAAAAACAAGAAAGAAATAATAAAAAGCCAATACATATAAAAATTGAAAATTGATTGTGAGTGATATATTAAAAAAACATATAAATTCGAACATTTTTTATGAGCCATTAAACGATTTTGAAAAAAAAAAATTCCGAGTCAACTACAGGCTTAAAATGTATAAAGAATATTTTTTCTGGGTTCACTCAAGGCGCGGATTTTTTAAAGAATATTTTTTCAAGGGTCCATCTAAGGCGTAGATTTTTTAAAGAATACTTTTTCAAGGGTCCATCTAAGGTGTGGATTTTTTAAAGAATACTTTTTCAAGGGTCCATCTAAGGCGTGGGTTTTTTAGGAACATTTTTAAGGGCCACAACTTGGTGTAGATTTTTTGAAGAATATTTTTTTAATGTTATCTTGGTCGTGGATTTTGTAAAGAATAGTTTTTTCAAGACCCACTATATGCGAGGATTTTTCAAAGAATATATGGTAAAGGCTCATAAATTATCCTATCTCCAAAATTGTCTTCCATTGGTTCTTACATTTCAAAAAATTGCTCTTTTGACGCAAATAAGGTGTCATATAAAAGTTCGATGTATGTGTCTCTAATACAATGACGATAAATTTTATTTAAAAACTTATTTTAGATTGTATTTTTAAAAGGTATCATTCGATGTTCGAGAATAGCTGATACAACTCATGGTTCATTCGACGGCGATATTCACCATGAACGCAGATCCGCCCTTAGATTTTTCGGAGAATTTCAAACACTGCCTCATCTACGTGCTCATCTAGCACGGGTAGTATCAGCGTCTTGTAGAGTGTGAGTTTGGTCTGGCGGGAGGTGGCCTTGCTCTTGAGTTTTTTGCTCAGACCATAGTAGCATCTGTTGGTCATCACTATCCTTCTCCGAATTTCAAAACTGATGTCATTCGTTTTGTTTATGGTGGTACCACGGTGTATATAATCTTTAACCACCACGAACCTGAAGTTCTCAAGTTCCACAGTTGATCCGAGTCTACTGGATGTCTTGCGCGTTGATACCATGAGCTTGGTCTTCTCGCCGTTTACTGCCAGACCCACTTTGGCAGACTCCTTCTCAATTTGTTCAAAGGTGGCTGTTACCGCTCTCAGTGTTCGACCCATTATGTCGATGTCATCGGCGTAGGCGAGTAACATGTGTTGTTTGGTGTACAGAGTACCATTTCTGTTCACTTTTGCCTCTCGTATGAACTTTTCCAGCAGGATGTTAAAAAGGCCACACGACAAACTGTCACATTGTCTGAATCCTCGTTCGGTATTGAAGGGCTCCGAGAGGTCCTTACCGACTTTAACTGCTGATCTTATGCCAGTTAAAGTTATTCTGCATTGCCGTATTAATTTTGCAGGAATGACAAACGCAGACATGGCTTTATACACCTATGAGCATATAGGGCTGTCGAATGCGGCTCTATAGTCGACGAATAGGTGGTATTTGTCGATGTGTTTTTCGTGGGTTTTTTCCAGGATTTGGCGCGGAGTGAAAATCTGGTCAATGGTGGATTTGCCAGGTCTGAAGCCGCATTGGTATGGTCCAATAATGTCATTGACCATTGGCTTCAATCGTTCACACATCGCACTGGATAGCACTTTATATGCGATGGTAGGAGCCTTATTCTCTTGTACATATCGATTTGCACATATCGTTTTTCTTGTTCTTTTTTTTATGCACGGGACACAAGGTTTTGATAATATTGAAATAATTTTAAAACTATTCGAGATATTTCGAAATATCCAACGGTTATTTAAGGCTTTAAAGGTTATCTTCCGATATATAATTTGTCTGTGTGGGGACCTGGCATAATATACTCATGCAGTCATATGTTTCCATTTTTTTCATTAATTTGCCTTTGACAGTATCCAGCTTTCAAAAGTGAAATGAAAATATCTCTTCGGCACCTGCTGCTTATATTTATTTTTTTAAAGTTCCCTGCCTTGAAACTTGCTAAGATGTAACGACCATGGTTAAATCTTCAGCTTTAGAAAATATATTTTGTTCAATTTATTGAAGATATGCCAATCGACATATGTACATACAATTTTATGGAATTTATTTTCCATATTATTTAAATTGATCGATAAGTTACAAATTAAAAAGGGTTGTTAACCTAATTCAAGTCCGTGTCTGATTTTTTTTTCAGAACATAGAAAATCTTTGAGTTTTAATCTGTTCATAACCGATTAAATTATCCAAATATCTCTATTTGTTCAAAAATGAAATGCCCTGAATTTCCTAACGACCTGACAATTTGGCGGCGGCAGCGCCATCTATTGACGCAGTAGATTAAAATGACAAATACGAAAAAATTGATATTCTGATTTTGTCGTAAACTTTAGAACTACTGATGGTATTCGAATAAAATTCGAATAAAAGACGACAGCCAGCAACTGACAACACTCTAAATGAGCGTCATCTATTGATAGAAATTCTCCGCCACTGTAAAAAGGGTTTTTCTGAACTGTGGAGGATACAGTTTGTAACTTTTTAATGAACTGCTCTATTAACACAAATAAGGTATCATATTAAAGGACAAATATTCTACTCTATTATAAAATCGTCAAATTTTATTTTAAAAACTTATTTTATGTTGTATTTTTAAAAGGTATCCTTCAAACTAAGTTTTCACATACATGATTGCATAATTCAATAATTATAAGTTGATTTCCAAGTAGCTAGACTTCTTACCTTTGATATGATACCAATTTTATTACGATATCGCCAGTAATTCAATAGTTATCCGATAAAAACCAGAACATTAATTTTTTTATTTTCGCCAGTTCGGTCATCTGTATCAATAGATGGCGCCCCAGTCCCAAGAGTGTCAGATCGTTACGGAAATCAAGGGTTTTATAAAATTGCAATAACTTTCAAACGGGCACAGATATTCCAACAAATCCAACGGTTATTTAAAGCTTCAAGAGTTCTCTTTCGATATAAAATTTGATTGTCAGAAGAATTCGCATAGAAAGGTTTCAGATAATTGCTGACATTATTTTACAGCAATTTTAACCTAATTATTATCGGGATTTAAAAAATATTGTTGCACACAGAGAATCGGTGAGTTTTCAGCTGTTTATAATCGTTCAAAAGTTAAAGCAATTTTATGAATACCTTGATTTCCATAACAGCCCGTCAATTTGGCGCCCACAGCGCCATCTATTGATTCAGTAGATCGAAGTGGGGAAAGTGAAAAAAATTACTGTTCCGGGTTTTGTCGCCATAACTTTTGAACTACTTGTCGTATTGTAATAAAACTGGTGTCATACGAAAGCTAAGAAAAGTGGCTATTTCAAAATCGTATTTTCAGAAATATGAAATGTTGAGTGTCAAAAATGGCATAGAACGATATGTTTCGAAATGTTCTTCTTTAGCAAGTTTAGAAAATGAAATTTGCGATTCTATAGCAAAGACAAATATCTGCTCTTCAATATGACATCTTATGTGGGTTAATAGGGTAATTTTATAAAAAAAGCTACAGCCTGTGAAAGACAATTCTAAGTAAATAACATCGTCCATTCCCCATTCAAACATTCTCCT